AAATATTATTAATATTATACTTGAGATTATATATATTAAATATATACATATCCGAGTGTATTATATATGTATAGTATATGAGTAATACATTTCTTGCAACTTCAATTTCCTAAAACATTCATATCAAAATTCAATTCACTTACATATATCCATTAGACTGTCTACATTAAAAATGTATATAAATACTATGAAAATGTAAATTGTTCAAATTCTCACGAAAATCGAAATAAACTTGAGAAGTAAGTACTCACAAATGTGTATATCATCTGTCTATAGTCCATATACATAAATATCTATGTAAGCATACATTTGAATTTCCAGTTCCGGGCTTTACTTATTGGCTATGATACTGCTCCAAAACATATGTTCACTGTCCTCCTATGATGGCACATACATGTTTGTTGTGTGTTGCTCGTTGGATCTGCAATTGTAAATATACATATGCATAAGTATACAAGAATATACGTATATATATATTTTTTTTCAATAAGTCGGACAATGAGCATTATGTTAGACGCCTTCATAGCACGTCACAGGCCTTGTCCATATTCAATGCTAAAGTCGCCCACGCGTTTTGCTAATTTTAGCACTCAAAAACAACACACACAGCGCGAAGATTAGTGAAAATCGTACGACGAGTACAGATATCTATATGTCTGTAGATATATATATTTAAATTAAATATTTGCTTATGCAAAATACATATAGAACTAATAATTTTTAGACATTTAACAAATAAACACAAGAGCCGGCAAACACTTTCAATAAACACAAATTTAAGCACATAAATGTACATACATAGCTATATGTATATATCTTATATATGTCTTCAGCATATATCTAGGCAATTTGCATTGACCTTACCCAAAGCTCTGAAAGTCCAATTGAGTTCAAAACATGCGCCAGAATTCCAAATTGACAAWGACTTTTATGAATGTCTTTATTAAATACTGACAACAGATCATCTGTATACACATACATACATTTGTATGTATACACTCATATATATATAGTATATGTGCCGATGTTTGTCATTCGAACTGTTCCTGGTTAAAGCAATACAATATCTGCTGTCATCTAATAATTTCTTCTAGCTGCGGTTAGGCACAGTCAATCACAGTTGATTTTATAAAGACATTTCATAGTCAGAACTTAATCACATCTGATATCGAGCCGAAGATTTTGTTGACCACAACAATAGAGCCGCATTTAGCAGCGCAAATCATGTGCAAATTAATTACATGCAATTTACAGAGCAAAATAAACAACGAACTTGAACAAATATTTGTGTAATAGAGGAAGAGACTGAAGCGAAAAGCTAAATATTTTTGTTCTCTATAATAACTAAAATTTATATCAATCAAATATAAAACTCGTATTAGAAAATATGGTAGAAATGAATCAGATAATTACGTATTAATCTAATGTTAAGAATACTATTCATTCTGAGTCTGTTTACATATTTTAAATAACAGAATTCACATGACATGCAAAACAGAATCTTTCTTTTCGGGCCCCCCCCCCCCCTGCCAGATCCCATTAACAAGAATTGCACCTCCCGCAACACAGAATCTTATGTTATTAACAGCACTCTGTTAATAACATAACCCAGTTCTCCTACTGGTTCGCTGTACTTAGCGCCCCGCGGAGTACTTCGTCCCCTCCACTGATCACTTGCCTCTCCTGGTATTGACGATACATATATCTTTACTAATGCTATACGAGCAACACAGCTTGAATCTAAGAAATAAAGATGAGGAAATTACAAGCCGGTCATTGTACTTATCGGCGACGCCACACACTCCAACATATATGTTAATATAACATAATAGAGAACTTTTAGTATCGGTAAAGCTATTATACCCTGTTAACGAAGATAAAAAGAGTATATTGGATTCATAATTTTTTGCCCGTTCATAAAGACGTTTGTGTCTTAAACTTTTTTCCATAGAGGATCAAAGAGAATTTATATCTTCCCAAGTTCTGAGGCTAGAGCACCAAAATGTTACCCTAAATATGTTAAGTATGTTATTTTGTTATTTTGCGGCACAGCAAATCCAATAGTCGTTTCAATTGGCTTTCATCAAGTTCAAGTCGAATCGAATGCGATTGGCGAATGCGATTCATTAACATTCAGCATGTCAACGCGCTGACAATTCAGACTGAATGCAATTGCCAGCCTTCAGTTTAACTGATTTCATCTTGGCATATCATTTTATATCTATTATATAGTCATATACATATATATAATTTGAGCAAATTTTGCTGCCTTGAATTCAAATCGAATACCAAATTCGATCTCGTATGGTAGCGATCAACGATATGCAAAGACTAATTGCTGCGACTCGATATATATCTATTTAATGCATTTATCGATCAGCTAGAATCGTGCCAAAATTTGTGCCACATTCACAGCGTGGGCGTCGGGGCGTGGCCTATCAGGCAAGGCCAGCCACGTCGCGAACATAAATATAATTTTTCCCCACATAAAAAAGTTTTTTTTTTTTTTTTTTTTTTTTTGTTAACAAATTTTGCGTATGGCCAAAAATAATTCCTGAAAATTATTACGCAATGTCTGTGTATTTTATAGCACTTTTC